TTTAAAATAATCTACATCCATGAGATTCATGGGGACAAAAAAAGTCCTGAAACAATTAAAACTTTTCTCTCTCCTCTACATCTCTAACACCTCTTAGTCTATCCATTCTCCCCAATCCCCTCAGTACTCTCAATAGCACAACAGCGGGTAAGCAGGGGCAACCTCTGCATGTGTCTTTTCATTTTAATGGGTGTGACTAAAGTAGCGCCTGAAGCATCATATTTTTAATTGCGATAGAGGCCGACCTGTGGCTGTGATGAACAGCATGGTGTGTCATAATTGTTAATATAAATGCATTGCAATATGCTAAGGCAGTCGATTACATACACGCAATCATTTCACTTTAATATATCCCCATATTTCAAAAGCATCTTTTCACTATTATCTTTCTTGCTTTTTAATGTTTTTTTCCTCATATTTGACTTATCTTTAAATATGACCCTTTGGTTTCGTCAATTTCTTCAGTCACAAATGAACTTCTTTAGATAAACATATTTTTGTAATGTATCCTCTAGTTGTAATTCAAAGTTCTAGCAGGCTAAACTCTAAGCATGGTTTGTGACAGCCGGTCAATATAGCTCCATAAATATTTAATATGGGAAGATTTAAAGTTTTCATGAAACTGACTGGATGTACTCTGAGTGGGCGGGTGATCTATGGTGTCAGTGTTCTGAATAACAGATGACCTCAGATCAGATTTATCTTGAGAGGGATGTGGGGAGGGAAATGAAAGTTAGATGGGGGTGCTTTGGCAACACTGTTCATCTAAAACATTCATGCCAACAAATGAAGCTGAGCTAAACTGTAGGGAGAGGCAGAGAGCGGATACAGGATGAATGAGAGAAGAGAGAGTCAGGCAGAAAGGCAGTGAGAGATAAAGAGCAAGACTTCCTTCTCCACTGTAAGACAAATCAAGTTCTTCACCAAAAAACAACTTACATACTAGGAGTTTGACACACTCTCCCACCTAGAAAAATGCAATAGTTACTGAAATAAACGTATAGATTGACAATATGCTGCAGCCTGAGGTAAACACCATTAAGTTCTCTCGTAAAAGTTTTCTCCCATTTTCCGGCGCTGTGGTACATGAACAGGGATTTGAGCATTATTATAATTTACTATCATATAAAACGAACAGTTAATATGCTGTATAAAATACCACCAGACTACATTTCTTTTTAAATTTGCTGATCTTTGATAAATATACTTGATCCAAACTCGACAAAAATAAAATAAAACACATCAAACTCATCTTTGATAGTCTTTCTGCTAATCCAACAATCACTGGCTCTGACTTTTCACTGGCTAAGATTTAAGAAGAGGGACTAAATAAGACTGAACCGTAATAACAAAAGATTAAACCACTATAACATTGAGATTTTTACTAACCAGCCGGCGAGTCTGTGATGTGAAACGTGACACACCAGGATATCCAAGGAAGAAAGACTACTCATCTACTGCCAAGGACTCTATGGCTATATGCTTATAACGTTTAAATCTGAATATACGTGCTAATATTTTGTAAAAAAAAAATTCTCATTATTTTTATTTATTTATGATCTTTTAATTACTTGCCCAAACTGACTCTTTGGATATTGTATGTAAAGTTGAGCAGTGAAGTGTGGTATATGTGCATTGAACATAACTGTAATGGCTCATTTAAACTTTGTAAACCTTGTAAAACAAGGCAAAAGTAAGTTTAATGATGATCATTGTCATGAACACATTTGAAATGGGAGCGGGGCAAGATTAGTAGTTAGTAAAGTGAAGTACAGGGGGAGGGGCAGAGTACAGAGAGAGAAAGAGAGAGTTAGGACAGACAAAGAAAGGGAGAGGGGGGGGTGTCGAGTGAGAGCACCCAAAAGAACACCTGTTGAGATTAGGGTTGGCACGCGACCCACTCACACTCGCGTGGCAGCTGCACCTCACTGGAACAATGGCAGTAAAAGAGAGAGACAGAGAAAGCGAGAGGAAAGTTTGAATGCACTACTTATCCTTTCAGGTCATGTGTGCGTGTGTGTGTGTGTGGCATACTAATGTGTGCACTGGGAGAGGGAGGGAGAGACAGGGACAGAAAGAAAGAAAGAGAGACAGAGAAGTGTGGGCAGTCAAGAAAAAAAGACGTGTTTTCAAGTTAACTACTAGGTGAAAGGTCTTATTTGTCTTTGGGTTGTAGAATGGGACAGAACAGAGGACACCTGCTCAAGGTAGTGAATAAGGTGTTGGTTTAAAAAGCCTGCCAGCTGTCACAGGTGCACTGAGTTCTGAAGAGTTTGTTAGAGAAGAGAAGTATGAAGAAGAAGCACTACATTTAATTAAGTGTGTTCATACTGATCTAAACATATTCTTATTAAGATGTTTTTCACTTCAATAAATATGTATAATACTTATTGAATGCTTTAAAGTCCTTTTCCATCTATAGCCTATATAGCATATGCTCTAAAACGTTTTCCGGCAATCTCTTATTAAAATGGCATTTAGGAGCGCTGTGAGTTTATGAGTTAACATTCTTATTTCCATTGCAGTTCTGCTCCATGAACACACAAATTGGAGCCCAATTACTCATTGCTTTACTTGGATGCACTGCAGATATGAGGCCATATTGAATATAATTGTACCCAGTGAAATGCATCCAGTAACATTGGTGACTATGCTTTCATACTAATTTCCCAGTGGTGATTCAAGTCACCTCTGACTCTCCTTCCATTTAAACGCAGAACACCTGATCATATATCACATCCACTCTTTCCTTTTCTCTCTCTCTCTCTCTTACACACACATACACACACACACACACACACACACACACACACACACACACACACACACACACACACACACACACACACACACACACACACACACACACACACACACACACACACACACACACACACACACACACACACACACACACACACACACACACACACACACACACACACACACACACACACACACACACACACACACATACCTTCTTTCATTTCCATTTCCAATGCAATTCACATGTTGATGGCAATTTCATGCGCAGAAACATGCTTTTTTGGAAGGTGAAATCATGACAGTGATCACTCATGAAACCTAGCTGGTTTTGAACTAATCCAAAGTGATTTAGTATGCTTGTATTTCACTATCAGTTCTACCTTGCCAAAGTAATGGCATTAATATTGTTGCTCTAACACACACTGCATAACAGAAACGCTTGGATGCCTCTCTATTGCAGAGAGAAATTATATAATTCACCCCTGGTAACTGTTCTGGATGCTTGGTCTGATCTCTGTTCCTCCCTAAATTATTTGCTTCACAGCTGAGCTCTCTTTGGCTCTGCGACGCCATCTAGCGGCCATCCAACACCGCACTGGAGCCTCTACCTTCAGTGTCAACTTGTATGCCTCAGTCCTCCTTTTATTATTTTGGACTCGTTGGTGATTTAAACGTGAAACAAACTTCTTGGTTTTTTTGCTGAGGAAATGCAACAGTCCATAATAAAACGAAAACGATTAAGGCTTTTGTTAACCGCATGTGTTTCTATTATAACCGAAAAACTAAAAGTGGAATCAAAATGTTTTTTCCCCCCAATGATTATAATAACTCGGGTAATGTAAAGCTGACAGCTCAGGCATGTCAAATCAACACTACAAAAACAAACAACTGTACAAAAGCCTCTTTTTAATTTTGTTTTGTTAATTATGGCCATTACTTATTTGTATTCACAACTTATACCTAATTTAATGTTACATTTGATAAGATTTCCTTCGTGCGTAAAAGGTAGGCTATCACATATCCAAATCGCAGTGTCGTGCATTTGTTGTCACCCGTTCTTGTTTGTGTGTCACTCCACGGAAAACTGCACTCGATGTCAGTTAGAAGTGTGCGGATGTGTGCGCAGTTTGCACACGCCTGCTTCTTCGCCTCCCTCTCTTTTCTCTGTCTGGAGGGCTGGAGAGGGGTTTGTTCGATGTGTGTTATGTGACAAAGGACCGCCCAACCCCGCCTCGTGGAGATAGAGAGAGAGAGAGAGAGAAGAGAGAGAGAGAGAGAGAGAGAGAGAGAGAGAGAGGAGAGAGAGAGAGAGAGAGAGAGAGAGAGAGAGAGAGGAGAGAGAGAGAGAGAGAGAGAGAGAGGAAACTCGCAGAGTATACGGCTTGACTTGAAGTCTTTTCTCACACTAGCTTAACGATCATGATGTGTCCAAGAGACATTTCCCTGTTTGTGAAGAGAGGCTCAACTGTTGAACGTGGTCTTGTTTAACATCGCAGTGATGGAGGACCTGGTCAGGGACCACCTGTAGCCCTTCAACAGCTGATTAAAACAATTGTGAAAACAATACTAATCAGTAGGCCTACAATTTAATTTAAGTGATACATTATTGAAATACACATTATATTATACAAACATACAACTGCGTTTTAAAAGCCGAAACTTCAAAGTTTTACTATCCACAACATCTCGGACACACACTGTAAACATTAGGAAATGCATAACTACTACTATCAGCTGCAATGCGCTAACAAGTAATCTGGCTTCATATCCTCTCTATTCAGAATGATAGGTGCGCACCATTCATAACACCAACTCAGAACATTAGATAAATGTTACAGTGTGTATTTTATTCACTATGCAATTACCCAGGCAACATAGTTGTACAAAATGTGCTCATGTGTTAAAGTTTCCATATGGTAAAGTATACTTAGTTTCCCATATAGCTATATTTTAATGGTATACACATGTTCTGGTGGTGAGAGAGTAAAAAGGGGGGGCTCCATAACATAAACCAGTGTCTCTTTAAAAAAATTGAAGTTTCTTGTTGTATTCTGGAATGAGGTCAGACACGAGGCTCCTCATTGCACGCGCTGATTATTATTAGATTCCTTTTTCAACCAATCAGAGCCAAGAGGGGCGTGAGTTTGGCACAGAGGCAGGGTAGCGACAGCACAGGATTGGTGGATTTTTATCGCCGTTGTATCTCCGGGAAGGGATAAATACAAGCAAGGGGGGCCGGGACTGGAGGGCTGCTTGAAACTCGACTGCAGGTCTGCAGATGGAAGGCGAACAGTGTAACTCTAGGCTTCTTTTTTTCCTCCCCAGCATGCATGGCTTTTGTTTCTAGAAGAGGGGACAGAGCTGATGCAGAGAAAAGCACTTACCTTACACACAGTACTTCGGAGCCCTTTTTAAGTGCCCGGGTGCTCAGTGTGGCACTCAGTCTGCGCTCTGCAGCTGCATCATAGACTATGTTCAGTCCCCACACGGCTGAATTTGTTTTATAACACAGAAGGAAGAGACTGAGAGGGACAGATAACAGGGTACTCAGTGGAGAGGGCTTTACTGTCCGTGTTGTTTTAACACCCACAGAACCTGGAAATTAAAGTTTTTTTTACACATCTAGCCTTGTTAAAGGCTACGCTGGACTGTTATTGAGTTCACTGCACATCTCAGGAGTGAATTATTTCTTGCGCGTGTTTTTTGCCCAGCTCAAACTGTGAAGAGGAGCAGAAAAGAGCTGAGTTTGCTTTAAAGTGAATCGGAGGACCAAGGAGAGAGCAAGAGCAAGTACACTGCTCTGCCTTTGAGTGTATATCTGGACAACATGGTGCAGAAAATGAGCCACACGGAGAGCACCGCCGAGGCGCTCTCCTTTTTCGCCGGGGATTCGAGCTCTGATTCCGGGGCGTGCATGGACCTGGACCCGGCTGCCTCGCCTCTTTCCCCGGGCTCCACGGCTTGTTCGACTGCCGGGGACAAGCTCGCAGAGAACCCGGCATGGTGTAAAACTCCCAGCGGCCACATCAAGAGACCCATGAATGCGTTTATGGTGTGGTCACAGATAGAGAGGAGGAAGATCATGGAGCAGTCCCCGGACATGCACAACGCTGAGATCTCCAAGAGGCTGGGGAAGCGGTGGAAGCTGCTGAGAGACAGCGACAAGATCCCCTTCATCAGGGAGGCAGAGCGGCTTAGGCTCAAGCACATGGCGGACTACCCCGACTACAAGTACCGGCCCAGGAAGAAGGTTAAGTCAAGCGTCTCCAAGCCTGGCAGTATCGGAGACAAGGCAGAGAAACTCAACAGTAGCTCTCTCAACACCAGCACTAAGACATCCTCATCTTCCAGGAAGAATGGATCCAAATCACCCAGCAGCAGCAGACCCCACAAATCACTTTTCGGGAGCAGCAGCAGTAGCACCAAAGCATCACCTTTTGCCTCTGAGCACACATCAGAGCACCACCATAACTCTCTCTACAAGTCGAAATCTGTCTCCTCAGCAGCCAAGCAGATACCGGATGCCAAGAAGCCCAAGCGGGTTTACGTCTTCGGCAGCAGCGGGGCCAACTTGAGCGTCAGCCCCCCTTCCTCGGTTGTGGTCCCCGCCAGCCCAACACTCAGCAGCTCGGCGGAGTCCAGCGACCCGCTCAGCCTGTATGAGGACGCGGCCAGCGGTAGGGAGGAGGGAGCAGACTCCCCAGGCAGCAGCGGCAGCCTGGGCGGATCTTCGGAGCGAAACGGCGGGCACACATACAGCAGTCGGCGGACTTCCTCACCAACTCCCTCCGGCTCTCACTCCTCCGCCTCGTCCCACTCTTCCTCCTCGTCTTCCTCGGAAGATGAAGAGTTTGAGGACGACATGCTCGACATTAACCCGAGCCCCAACTTTGATAGCATGTCGATGGGGAGCTTTGGCTCCTCGGTTCTGGACAGGGACTTGGATATGAACTTTGAGTCTGGCTCCGGGGGTTCCCACTTCGAGTTCCCCGACTACTGCACGCCCGAAGTCAGCGAAATGATCTCCGGGGACTGGCTGGAGTCCACCATCTCCAACCTGGTGTTCACGTACTAAAAATAACGTCAGGTAACGTCCTGCAAGCTCAAATATGACCACAAACAAACAGGAGTTCCTGGTACAGTGGGCAAAATAGTTTGTCCACCCGACTAGTAAAAACCCACTGAAACTAGCCCCCGTCCCTTCTCGTCTAGATAGACAAGCGCTACAAATCCTTGGAAAACTTTAAAGCGAATAAGTTGCTTTTTGTACTTTCCAATGGATGCGTGGACTGTGGACTTTGGTTCAACCACAGAAGTGGAGTGCAAACACGAGAAGGAGAGAAAAGGAGACTGGCTGTGTTTCCTGACAGTGAAACGCTCAGTCCTGAACTGTTTTTGAAATGAACAACTTTAACTGTGATTGATTTGCGGCCAGCCGTTCACTTAATCAATGTTGTTGCTGATGAAAAAAGGGACATTTCACAACTTTTTACCAATTGCCAAGTGAACTCCACCACTAAAAAGGTACAGAAATAGGACTGTCGTGCAACATTTTTATTGTGGTGTGTCACCCAGAGGGATTTTTTATAAAACCGAGGTGGGTTGGTGTTTTTAAAAAGTCGAATATTTTCTCAAACGCAAAAAAACATGTTAAGCATGATAGCCTACTTTGTTCCTATCTTGTGCTGAGATTTTCTGCAAGACTGTCGAGCAGTTTAAAAACTAGTATTAGGGTTATTTAAAAGGATAGGTGGCACTCGCTTTCGGTTCTTCTCTTTAAAAAAAAAAAAAAAAAAAGGACATTGAAATAATCACCAGCTGTTGTAATTTTTTCAACCTTCAGGATTCAAACGCAACTTCAAATCTGTGCTGAACTTTATACACGTGTTCTCTACGATTCAGGACCAAACTTCTTTGATTTCAGATGATAGCTATAGAAAAATCCTCACCGATTTTTTTTTCATCCTCTGAGCTTTGTTTTGTACATGTATTCAGATGCCATTTTATATGGGATGTTGTATTTATATACTGGGCCAAGCATTTTCGACTTGATCATTTTTTTAATTTCTTGTAAACATGATCTAGTCCTGTTTTTCTTACACGGTTGTTTGTCAGTATGTTTGTGTCTGTCACATTTCCTTCTCAGGCGAAGGGCTAGAGTTTTAAAAACACACAACTTTTGATTTCATTTTATATTTAAATGTACACACTTTTTGGACACTGAAAAGAGAGGAAACAGTTTGATTATTTTCTCAGTGTATTTTTGTACAAATCTATATAGAAAATGGGGGAGTCAACAATCCGTGTGTGTAGCCTAATACAGCTGTATTGGATTTCCGAATTTTTAATACCCCATCAGGCTGGTTTTCATGCTGCCTTCAAGTGCTCATGGTAAACTCGGATTTAAGATATTTTATCGCCTGTTCAAATGCTTTTGTAAGGACAACCAGCATAATAGACCTTCTATCACTGTGGTGCCTATTGTTTAATCCTTAAAATGTTAGGCACCAAGTTATTTTATACATACGTGACCTGAGCAGATGACATAAAAATAAGCAGGTGTGTAATTGGTCTTTTACTTTACAATTTGACACATTTTCTTTGACTTTACCAGCATATACTGACAAGACTTATTTGATGTCCAAACCATGAATATCATCTCTTGTCAGTACAAACCTGATTTACTTAACTACTGTTACAAGGATACAATTACAAATGTTCCTACAGCACTTGAAAGCAGCACCAGCCTTTGTATCTGCCTACCTTCTACGTTTACAGTGCCAGTCTGCAGGCTCCTTAAAGACACAGGAATGCATTATTTCTAGAGGCTATTCCTGTGGACCATGTGGGTTTAACAGCATCACTATCTTAAGCATCCATTTGTTTTTTTCACATTTCCCATCAGATATCTTGCCTATAACAACAAATGAGGAGATTGTAGCTTTAAATTTGACTTATTTCTTGATGTTTTCATTAATTGATGTCACATTTGCCAATCAACCTCTTGATTGAACCAACTATCAATACAGCAAGCAAACAACTAGGATGATAACATCAAGCATATTCAAATGTCTGACTTGAGTTCCGCAACACCTACTTATACTGCGTTTCTCATTGTATTTGAATATATAATCTTTTCTACTTGTCAGCTAACTATTAGCTAATAATTGTTTTAGTATCTTTATGGCATGGTGAATAGCATTTGTATTTCAGATTCAGGTCATTAGCTGTTGTGTTTTTCAGAAAAAAAAAAAAAATGTGGAAAAACGATGAAACGTGAACTCGATCTTTGTATATTTGACTGTATCATAAAGCAAAAAAGATTGTGTGTTTATGTACGTTGTTGCTATCGAAGACAGGCACTGTCCAGAACTGCTATCTTTTACACATCCTTACTTACATTTAAGATGGTCAGTTCAGGACTCTTTTTTTATATATATATGAAAGCATTTTTAAATATATTGACTTTATTTTTCATCCATCCTGTGCAATATGCTGTGTAGAATTATCATTTATTGTCTCTAATCATGCCATAACAAAGGAACCACCCTTTTTTTTGAAACTCAGAGAAAGGGGGGGAAACTCATGCCAGCTAAATTGTGTCCATTCACTGCCTGTCAGATTGTTGATATAAACTTGTGTACAGAACTTTTTCAAGGAAGGAAATAAATATCAGCTGGAACTGAAACTCTACAACTCTCTTCTTGATTCTTGACCTTTGTATGTTTTCTCTAACTCTCAGCAGCAGGAAAAGGCGACACGTTTGTAGACATAGATATACTAGTGTCTTATAGCAAATCCTTATTATCGTAACCGACTTTATGTATTTATTGGCACGACAATGCTTTCCGAAAAGATATAAAAAGAGAGTAAGATTTCAAACTAAGAACACACACTCATTATCATTGATTTTAAACCTTACTATATGTATTCCCAAAAGTGGTTAACATAGAGAACCCAACTTTTAAGAAATGAATAAAATGGATTTTTAGCAAATCCTCTCCAATTGTGTACATACTGCATCCTCTCTCTTTTGAATGAAGCACAGATGATTGTGGGCACCAAGGTGTGAAATGAAAAGGCCATATATTTCATAGTTCATTCTTTTAGTTATTAAGTTAAAATACTTTCTTTCGCGAACATCTCCATATATGAAAAGAGGAGTTTCATTCAAGTTTCACATTTGGTGAGTATTGTCCATGTCAGCACATATTTTGTGTACACAACAGGTTTTCTACATTGAGTGTAAATAGCCCACAGATGGTCCACAAAGAGTTTGCAAAGCTCATCACTGAACTATGAAAAAGCACACTTTTATTCCCAGTTACACAACAGTAGGCATGACTGATTTCAATAGTTGTATATCAATCTCTCCCTCTCTACATACTTAGGATGCATGGTCTTTATTCTGTAAAGCCTCTGGGAAGCTTATACCAAGCACACTGGAGCCAAGAAATAGATATATTTATATAGACTCAGACAGAGAAAATCAATAAGATTATTTTAACCCTATGGTGACACATATTTAATAGGTTTCATGTTAAGCCCCCATAAGGCTTAAGTCTACATCATGCATTCAAAATTAATCTTAGTAGGGGAGTGTTGATGTAAGACTTTGATGTCCCATACTGATGATTATATGGTCTTGTGACGTCACATAAGTATAGAAATCATACAATAATTTGTAATCCCAATTCCTAAAACCTGTAACACTATACCTGCACCAACATTTTAAGAAGTTACAAAATGTCTAGAATATCTACTGTTACAAGTGTAAAACATAATAATGGATGCATGAACAGATAGTTCTTGTCCACTTAATATTTAAAAAAAAAACAATCACTGTTAAAAGAGTGATGCATTAGAAAAAGCCTGCTGTAACAAATGCCTGCATCTTTCAACACATCCCCCTGAAACGTCAATACTCATAGAATCAAGAACCCAACTTAAAAGCTCCTGTGCGCTGACCAGATGAAGCTTCACATGAGGCTACTGTAAACACATGATGTGTATTTATTCACCTAGAGGCCACATTATAAACAGACCATGAAGTGATGAAGGCGAGCAGATTTCACCATCCCATGACTAACAGTACTGTTTTATTACTAATGTATTAGTCATTACTAAAGTAGCCAATTATGCTGCCTGCTTAGGTTTGTCTAATTGCCAAAAATGTATTCCTTCTGAAGAATAAAATCTCACTAATTTACATCATGAATCAAAGCTGCACACACACTAAGGTCATTTTAATTGGGTGAATTATAAGAAATGGCTGTGATAAAGGCTGTTTATTGGCGAATACACACTCATAAGTTTAAAAGGTAAATATTCTTGGGCTTCATATCCAGGCAAACTGAATTTATTTTATTCTAGCCTGTAGTGCTGCTGTATGCTGGCTGTCTGGTGTTCAGACAGTCATGATTTCCCCTCCCCCTCTCCCAGACAGACCCTTATCGTGGGGGAAGGGCTGGTTTAGCAGCAGTCAGCCAAGGGCCCTCCAGCATAGCTGACAAGCATGGCTGTCTGTCTACGATGTGTGTGTGTGTGTGTGTGTGTGTGTGTGTGTGTGTGCGCGTGCATGTGTTTGTTGTTGAATCTATATTCATCAAATTGAACCCCATGACATGACTTTCCCTGCAGATAGACCAGACATTATATGTCTACCTCACATAATACCCAATGTATCTTCTTTGAGTAATTATTGTTCTTCGTCTTCCGTCAAAACAGCACACTATGTAATAATATTGCATAAGGAATCTTCACCAAGCACTATGAACATTGCTGTATGTATTTGTTTACTGTGACTCCCTGTAGCAATATTTTAGCACTATTGCATAACAGCCTAATTAGTTGTATAAAATTACAGGTACCATAGCTGTTACCGTGTGCAGCCATTATGTACGGTATAAACACTAACGGTTAATTCAGTTCATAGAGCTTTGCATTGCTCAATGTTGTAATTGGATGCAAAATGGTAATAGCAAGCAAGGCTGTTCATTATTTTGTCTATCAGTCACACATTATACCATATGTAGATGTTTAAATAAGCACTCGTGTGCATGTCATATTAGTTGAATTGCCTGTGTGTAATGAGTAGGTTAGTAGAAAATGTTCAGTATGTATTTCATTAAAAATGTAGGTCCTAACCAGGTTACATTTCTTACCAAACACAGTATTATATTCTGGTATCAGACTTGGTGTCAAGACTTCTCAGGCAAGAATAAGACAAAACATCTGCAAACTGTATTAAAAGCTCCCAGCCATTTTAATTGTGATACATCTTGATCTAACAAAGAGCTCAAAGGTCTGTCATGTTGCCTAATTTAGATGTGTTGATGTGCGTTCTCTGCAATCTATTCATCTGTTGTTATGTTATAGACATTAATAGGACAACAGGAGAGGACAAACTCATCTACAAGATGCAAAACAGACAACACACTCATTTCTTATACATTACATTCAACCCTCAATACCCTGGTGCAAAAAGGAGCTAGGCTTGCAGTTGTAGAGTCAATACAATGAGTGTGCACTAGTGCATTAATCCATAAGGGATTTTATGGAGCTGCTACAACCAAAGCCTTGCAGCATTACAACCATATGCAGATATATGCATTTTATCAAAGCCTAAATGGCTTAGTTTAATTACTGACTTAGCACAGACTGTAAACACTGTCTTCTTTTCAGCTGGCATACATATGCATTTTGTGTTGCCCAGTGTGCACATTTATATAAATACTTGTTTGGTATAATCTTGAAAATGGTGCTAATATCTACTTTTGTCTCAATTTGTGTGTGAGAATCTCCTCTAACTGTACTGTGTGTAGCCAGTTCAGTTTGCAGTCTCATGCCTGGCTCAGCTGACTGCAGTGGGAGATATGCAGGCAGCAGCCAGCCAGGGCAGAGCAGAGTGGGCTGACTGCTGGAGTCAGTGGCCCAGTAAAACCACAGCGGGGAGGATAAGAGCTTTGCTGAAGGGGGGGGGGGGGGGGGGGGGAGAGAGAGGCATGACTGCATCTCTATGTCTGCCTGTCTGTATATGTATCTCAGCCCAGAGGGGGTGGATGCTGTAATGGTGGTGGTGTTGATGTTTGGTGTATGACTATTTATCCCCTCTTCTCTTACTGTCATTATGTATTGTGTCTCACATATGAATGAAGGAAACAGTGTCTGTAATATATTTTTCTTCTAATTATTATCCCTACCTGACTTGCTCTGTCTGCGTATGTGATATGTTCTCGAAGGCATGCATCACATAAACAGAAACATCATACAAACAGCAACCCACAGACACATTGCTGTTTGTTTGTCTGGTTTGTTTTCAGGAGCAGGTATTCTGGGTGAGAGAGGTATACTTCATGTGTTCCTGCCAAGAGATGGAAGAAAAACCTGTGCGTCAGTTACTTGGAAGCAACAGATATTTCCGGCAGGGGCACATTTTTATCTTCTATTGTAATTGTATGTATGTGCATCTACATGTCTGTTGTCTGTCTGGTGGTTTTCTTTCCTTGGTCAATAAAATATGACATCAGGACGAAGGGGAAGACTAACAACTGGCAAACTGGGAGACACTTTAGGAATTATTCTCTGCCTCTGCTTGTCCCTGATGCCTCTGTTCGGGCAACATGCCACCACTGGTTGCTACACCAGAAACATCTTGTGTTACTTTGTACCTGGAAACGATTTTGCTTCAGGGTATAAAAAAAACATTGATGCATTAGAATGTAGTTTGACTGCAGGTGTACTGAACTCTGATACCTCATTCACACCAACGCAACTCCGGTTCAAGCTCCGTGCTAGAGCTTTTTAGGTTCAGAACCAGTTCTTCGGTTTAGCTCTGGCTCTTTTCACACCGCCCAGAGTCCGACTGGTAAAGCGTCGTTGCGTCATCGTTTGCGTCATGACGTAACCGTTTGCGTGCCTGCTTCATAAAGCCAAACCGCGCGGATGAAATCAGTTGCATTAATTTCTTATGGCTCTATCTGCAGCTTTTCCGGAGTCATTTATGTGGTTTAGTTATATTCTTATAAAAAGTGTACTCGTGTCAATAAAGGTTTTTTTAAAACACAACTGCTTCCGAGGTCGGTCTTATTTCTTAAGGTGGACTGAACCATGAGTGTGGAGTAACGTTGTATCTTTCATTTAAATGAACTGTAACCTTCACCCAGGTATGTAACAGCTGTTTGCAAATGAACACGTGAAGTAAAGTTTAATATTTATAGTTTTATAGATTTATAATGAGTTATAATGAGAGGTGATCAACGTGAATGTTCAGGTTCCACCTTAACACGCACACACGTTGCTTCACCGTGAGCAGAAACCTTTGTCTATGGCAGAAACACTGAAACTCTTGTTACGTTTCTCCATCGTTGTGTACAAACTGGATAAAACGCGAGCTTTTTGTTGTTGTTCAGGAGTTGATCTGTCTCTGCCCCTGCCCCCGCCTCGACGTAAGCGTGACGTAAGTGGTGCTTTTGCTCTGGCCGGACACTTTTTTGGTGCTTGAAACGAACCGGATTCTGGAGCTAAGAGGCTGCTCCGCTGCGGTGTGAAGAGGAAAACCCGGTGCTTTTCAAGCTCCAGCTCCGAACCGGCCCTGAAACACCGTTGGTGTGAATGAGGTACAGGTGTTCTGTTGTGCTTTTTGATACAACAACCAAAATACCTATTGTTCTCAGTTTAGCAGCAGATCTATT